TTTGGCACTGGCATCTGCAGCCACACCCTGCAGCAGCACCAGCACCCAAGCCCTTAAGCACCACACTGCCACAAACATTTGGAAGAGGCACCCTGCAGCGACACCAGCGCCCAGGCTCCAATGCGCTCACCGCCACAAATCTGGCAGGAGCATAATGGCAGAATGCAGCGGCACTCTGCAGCAGCGGCAGCACCAGCCCCCAGCCTCCAAAGCGCACGCAGGCACATCTTCCTACACTTGAAATAAGAGCCCCGAGGCACATCTTCCTACACTTGAAATAAGAGCCCCGATAGCTCGTTTTCGGCTGCTCTTGAGTTTCTTCATGCCCTTTGCAAAAATGTGCGCTGTATGCACATCACTGATCCACCAAAGCAAACACCAAAATAACGAACCTACGATCCAGTCTGGCTCAAACCAAGGCTTGGTTGTTTTTTTGGTTTGTTTTTGTTGTGTTTGGTTGTTTGGTGGATCAGATTTGGAAAAGAAGAACAAACAAACAAATCAACCCTGTGTCTTAAGTTCGGTGCTTCAGGCATAGGTCTGATCTGCTTTTGTAGATCAGACCTCCTGGCCCGCCCTTTGCTCTCACCACGCTTTGTGTGATACCCTGACAATCCTTTGATCAAATATAGACTTGAATAACCAAATGCAGAGATACTGTTATTTTCACAAATTCGGCTTTTCCCAGATCTGGTCCTGTATGAAGTTTCCTTTTTTAAGAACAACAACTTTTCTACTGACAAATAGACTTTGGCATAGTTGAAGGCTTTGCCAAAAGATTGTGTACAGGAGTAAACCTGAAACAAATACAGTAAGATGCCTTTTGTATAGAGGAGTGGACTCTTCAAGTTAGACAACCTCCCAAGGATTGCTTTGAAAGTATCGGGAAAATGTTTGGAGCTGAGGGAAGCAGGTGTTTTTCTTGGAAACAGATGGGCTTCAACCTTGACCTTACAGCATGAAACAAATGGGTTTGAAGCATGTGTGCACTTGCTTTTGCTTGTAAATCGGTCTCCGCACCAAAATTGTAACGGTGCATTAAAGAATGTAGCCCCGCCAAAATGCCTCGCCGTATAAAGTACTGTACAAATGAGACACCTGTGCGAAAAGAATACTTGTGCAAAGATGAAGGCTTTACTGGAAGAAAATAGTCACATAAAGGAGTAAACCTGTAACAAAGGATGTTATTTATAGAGTTGACTCTGAAAGACGTGTGCCAAACAGGCTCGTGTTGGGACTAGTGGCCAAAAAATGATGTGTTTCATTTGATGCAATAATTACCACGATTTTCTGCTGGGGCTCATGTGAAGGACAGTGCATTTACAAGGATCCTATTATTCTAATTTAAGTGCGGTATGAAGTGCTGGGACATGATATGCATTTTCGTTCCCAAACGAAAATGCACCCCTAGTCAAAGTTATTGGTGACTGGTGAACGGATCAAGTCTGGATAAAGGATGGGGCCCATGTACTGGAGGACTTATTCATGGACGCTTGTACCAACTAGGAGACTTTCTGGGTAGTGCTTGTCAAGACAAACATCCCGCTCAATAAACTGCTAGCAAAACCAGCAGAAGCTCTTGTGAAGGGACGAGTGGGGGTGGGAGAAGACATGTAAAACACATGACCTCACATACAACAGTCTATGTCTTCATAATTCTTCATATATCTTTCATGAGTGCATCATTTGTGTCAGCTGGCTGCAATTGTATAAGTTATTGTACAAATTACTACAATTTGGTCCCCTGAAGTATGTACAATGTCAAGGGGAGTCAAAATAAATATATCCACACCCAAAAAAGAGTGGTTACAGAGAAACATAGAAGTTGTAAGAGGGTCCAAAAATAGAGTGATTACTGTACTATATTATATACGATTGATCCACTTCATGCTGCGTTCATCTCCAAGTGTTGTGTCGATCATACTTGTTGGACAATGTTTGGGCCCACTGGATAATGTACAATTTCAAGTGGGTCGAACAAGTATATCCAACGATGCTTGCAAGCTAAGACAATAAGACACAACTAAACAGTGTTTATGGGTGTCCAAATATATATATATATATATATATAGTGGTTATAGATACGTGCTAAATTCTATTCATACACTTCATGCTGCATTCATCTCCAATTCTTGCCTCGGTCATACACATTGTATAGTTATAGTTTATTGTACATCTCTATGTGTCGACCCCTTGAACATGTACAATTTCTAGGGGTCAAAAAATCAATTATAAGAATGTTTGCAACATGCAAATAAGACACAACTTAACAATGTATCACAGGCGTCCGATAATAGAGTGATTACAGATACTTCTTGTGCCCTCTCTCTGAGAGCCGGTCCGGGCGGTTGTCGTCGCAAAGCGACCTGAATATGTCATCCACCTTGTTTGTTGCCCTTGTTTTGTGAGGGCCTCACCTTGTATGAGTTACAGTTAGAGTTGGGCATACCAAGGTTTTGCTGTATTCTTGGTTTCCTCGATGTTCCTTGTGCAGTTCTTTTGCAAGTCGCTTCCTTCTTGCCTCCTTCTGCTTCTTTGGGTATGTCCTCGTATTTTGCAATAATGTGTGATTGCAAATTGCAATGATTGTCCCCACGATCCCACGATCAAGTTTCACGTTGAAAGAGACGTACATTTATTTTGGTATTCTTGCTGTTGGTTTGCTTGCCACATGTATCACAACATGTTGACACAGGAGAGACACATTCCAAGGGTGTCTTTTTGTCGAGTTGAACATTGAATCTTATGTTAATCATATGCGTCTCACTAACAGTAACTAGTATGTAAGACTATACCACGATATTTGTTAATTTGAAACCTATGTGTTTTTGATTTTCACAAATACATGCCTCACAATTTGTTTCTACATATAACGTGTCATAACGCGTCCATTCCCCCCACAATGACATCAGGTGCATCTTGACTTGTAATTGGCACAAACACTGCACATGTGTTCTATACATCAATCATTACCAAACCTGCTCCAAACGTTTGTGTCGGTTCAACGGTTTTTCTTGCAATAAAAAGAATAGTGTCTCAGTCTATACCAGAATGATAAGTATTATATATTTTGTTTGGTGCTACCAAAATTGAAAACATATTGAACCCACTTGTCAGACAGTGCTACTTCACGTCTACATTCTTAAGAAAATACTGTTCCACTGTGTTCTTTGGCTTTGAGAGTGGTAGTCTTACTTCCAAAGTCACTCCTCAGTAACATAAGTATCAAATATGTATGTGGCTGTGATATAGACACAATATTATACACATGTTGCATGTTCCCATAGTGTCATAGTAAGAGTTCCCAAAGATAGTCTCAAAATGTTCAGCCAATGCACATTGTGGAACGGGTTCTTTGATTTTGTTTTAGATACTGTATGTAACAATATATATATATGTAACATCTCCAAACTAGGGAATGGCGCAAAAAGGCCCAGAGCGATTTGCAAGTCTAATTTGAATACACAACTTGCAAGGGTGTTGCAAATCATTGCAAACCGTTGGTTTTGGATGTACCGGCCCAGAAAGGAAAATAAGACAGGTCTGTTGGCAGGGTGACTTGAGAAAAGAGTTCAGTTTCAGGAGGGGCCGCAGTATATTATGTTATATATCCTTTCAGGCGATTCAGCGGAGCAAAGGTCCAACCTCCTCCTGCAGACTGGCTTGCCTGTTCCATCGAAACTGGAAGCAGTAGGCAAGCTTTGCAGCCTCGACACCAATCGTGCATCTGTCAGCTGCAGTCTCGCGTGCACGAAAAATTTGGGTCCAGGATTGTTGAAGTTTCCCAAAGTTGTTTAAAGTCTGCGTGCCCGCCACTTTGGCCTGGTTAACCTGGAAGACAGCGTCACAGGATGTCGGCACAACGCAACACTCGATTGAGGTCGGACGAACGCGCTTGAAGCCTGTTTTGACATATTGAGGAAAAATGCGAACAGCAGATTGTCCAAAAGAACCGCTGCTCAGCAACGACAACGATGTTGGATACGAAGTTGGATAGAGGGTCAGACCGCTGAGTAAAGAGATCCAAAGCAGAGTCCACCCCAGATCTATTGCAAAAACATCTTCGACGCAGAATGATTCTCGAATGAGGAAAATATGGACAAAATATGTAACAAGACCACAAGACGGAAGGAAAGATGAAGTTCGGTGGTGTGCTGCCTGGGAAATACCACTGCGGTAAGTGTGCAAAATACATCTCCAACCCCAGAAACACGGCCCGTTCCAAAGAAGGGTGCGTGTTAGCGTGCTGCTGCCAATCACACTAACAGGTAGGCTTTGCAAAAATCTTCCCGGCGCGGCCCCGCTTAGCACTGTTGGTTTAATCTTATACATATCAAATCATATCGAACTAAAATTTACGTGTCAAGCTGTTTCGGGTTCATGTCGGCCAACTCCAAAAGCGTTGCAATAATTGACAAGCTGCCACAACAGTACCGCCGCTAGCTCAGGCCATGTCCCGGCTGAATCAAAAGACCACAGGTTTCCACTGCACCTGGACCCCACAAATACCCGGAAGGATGAACGATGATGAATGCACTTATGACAAATGAATGAAGACTGGACGAAATAATTCGTAAATCGGCTTTGCACAAAATATGGCTTGGGTCGGTGCAAGTCAAGTGCAAGGTGTGCAGATGTGGTGAGAGGGGTTGGCAGAATTGGCTCGGGTAGGGGCGTTTGTACACAAGGCTATTGCCCTCCCTTACTCGTACCAATCAGTCAGTGCGTGTTATTCCGGTGCTATATTATCCGTATTTATCCGGGTGACATGTGCGCAGATGGGTGATCAGATTCGGTTGGTCGGAGTTTTAAGCCTGCGTCAGTATTGGCATGTGCTTCTTCGGGAAGACCAAGTACGTTGCTGCAATAGCTTGCGCCTGACTTAGGCTCTCAAACTTTTTGATGGCTTGTGTTCTGCAAACTTCTGAATTGGTTCCTCCACCACAGTGAGTGAAATCGAAGCGATGCTCAACAGGCCTGGTGTCCCGGTGTCAGCCAAGGTCTCAAGCGTGCGCTCTATTTGGATCCATTCGAATGGATTATTTCGTACAACTTAGGTCGGGTTGTTTTTTGGTTATGTTCCTTTTTGATTGTTTGACACCTCAACGATTAGCTTCTTGAATGGCACATTATGTTCGCTTGAAGCACCCTGCTTTGTAAAATCCGAACTTGCTTTGGCTGCTTCGGTGCTGTGGGAAAGCTTTTGCCTCGCTTCTTTTTTGATCACAGTAGATATTCGGAGCAGTCTCATCCAGGTTTGGTGCATCTCAACACTGGGCAGTTCGCTTCCGTCATTCTGGCAAGCTTACCACACACAGAGCGAAGCAAAAAAGAAGAAGGTAAGGGACTCTTGCCCTTACCTCTGTTTTTGCTCTATTTGTTTTCCAGTACTCCTCAAGTGCGCTGCAATAGCTGGCACGGCTCGACTGCCCGAAGGCATTTCACTTCTTTTCCGCGAGTATCAACCTGAAGCCGGACTTCCCCTCTTCATACATGTAGCGCTCTGAGTGATTTTGGTCTGTGTGATACCCCTGCACGAGTCTTATTCGGCCATTGAGAATTCAGGTATTTGGCGATAACGCTTTCCCGTTTGGACGACTTCTCCAATGCGTGTAGTGCCTATGAGAAGGCCATCATATGACAGACATTATACAGCCATCGTGTGAAGTATGCTGCATCAGTTGAAGCTTGTGAAGAGGCGATAGAGATGGATTCCGACCACATGTTTCATTTGAACTTTGCCATAACATTGTTCAACCACGGAGAGCTTGCAGAGGCCCAGAAAGCGAATTATGCGAATTGAGTGCGCATGACATAAGTTGCTTTTTGCATAATTTTTGCTTGAGAGGAAGCAAAGGCTGAAGCTAATTGAAGCACTTACTTGTATGTTTTCTTCCCCAGCTTCATGAGCATAAAGCCACTTTGGGGGAGTCCCAAACATGAGTTGGGAAATTGAGCCAACTCTGAAGCAGGGCCATCTGGCAAAATGGCAGCGAAGAGCCACGACAAAAGTTGTAGTGGCACTCAGGCAGCGTAAAATGAACTACACCCGACCAGTGTACATGTCAAGAATGATGAAGAAGTAGAGGTACATGGCCAGCGAAAGGTCACCACAGAAGAATGGCGGACGAAAGGGAAATCCAAACACAAAGCCAAACAAAAGAAGCATGCACATTGACGTATCTGAAGTTGAAAGCCAGGGAGGAGAAAGCCAATACGGATACCTCAATCATATAGCGCCAAGAATTGAACTTGGATACTGAAGTGTGTGGGACAGCTTGACTTTCTGGTGTTCCCTGTTCAAGACTGTTGGACTTAACCTTCCTTTCGGGGCACTGTGGACATCAAGAATGCCAAGATCATTTCCCACAGTTTCTCAAAGTGAAACTGTCTCTTGACATTCCTAAGCAGACTGCTTGGCTTAGCGGCTTTGGCTCGTAGCGTTTTGTGGCGGCGTGTCAAGGTTTTTGCAGGGAGCAAAGACAACTAGTAGGGACTACTGGAGAAATATAACTTAGCACTTCACTTCAATGCCAATAGTTTTTGTGTTTTGGCGACGGACCAAACCGAGCAGTACCGGCACAGGGCTCCTCCCTACAGCAAACCCGCGCCTCTGAAAAAGAAGCTTTTGCTGTTTTGCTCCTGCTTGCTTGAGTGACGGTTTGGGTGGGGCGAGTGCTCATGGAAGAGTATATGTTCAAGCCAGCTGCAATCAAACAACTCCGACCAACCAACAGAAAAAGGACAAATCAAGAAAGCAAGAATGAACATGTTGTAAGGTTGTGAAAAAAAAACAATGCGAACGCAAAAATGGAAAGGACATCAAGCAATGAAAACACAACCACAGAACACTTATAACTAACAAGGACCAACAAACAAAAGGAACAAATAGTAACTTCAGCTTCCCAGTGCCTGGCTGCAGCAACAACATAATTTACTATTAGTGCCTAGTGCGCATAATGTGTTCATAACTGACCATTATTTTTACAACGGAGTATATTAAATACTAATTCAAAAAGAGTCAAAAGTACTTGGTAAAACTGTTTAACAAGATCAGATGCGATTAATAAAAGCCGATTGAAGCTCGGCAACTACATTGTCTCCCATGCTGCTTTTGAGCACCCTCAGGATGAGAAGCACCGTTGAACAATGAAGTAATGAAAAAATAATCATGTGGCAAGAAGTGAAATCCATCACTGTCACTTAATGCTTAAGAATAACACGGTGTCTTTTCTGGCCTAGCGAAGAAGCACAAGAGCACAGCAGAGTTCATGTGAGAACTTCTGTTTTTGTGCACCGGAGGCCAAACGGCAATTTGTGCTGTTCAATGATTTGTTCCAGCAGCTGGACGAAGAGCAAAGGAACTCGGACCCAGAGGCTCAGATGGTGCAAATGATGGCGCTAAAATTTATTTGGGATTGTCCAGGTGAATGAGCAAAGACAGCTCCTTCAACGAGTGCTGAACAGTGCCAAGTAGTTGAGCTTCAGCTGGGAATCACCTAGACTGAGTTTGGCTCAAACAGAGTTTGCAGATGATCGTCGCCTCAATGCCAGGCGAGCCTGGTGAAAAGTTGAATTCCACTCATGCATGCAGCACACGCACAAACAGACTTGTTGTGTTTTTGGGAGGAAGACATCACATCGCCCTGAAACCTTTACTCTGAAAGAATCATTAAGAGGTCCTGTAGGTAGGACACGAGACTCTTGCTACGTCGTGCCTCCAACAGGAGACAAAAGCCAATCACTGCGTTCCATACAATACATTGTCAATTGTCGTTCTCTTCAATCGCGCAGTGCCGCGTTGCAGCTTTTGGGTTAACGGTTTGCCTATGTTTGCCTACTACCGCGGCAAGCTCGCCTCACGGATCATAGACCAGAACTACCTGCTCGAAAAGACCTCGATTAGCAGTCTTTTGCTGGAACTGCAGTGCCAAGTCTGGTGATATGTTTGTGGAGCTCTTCCAGTGGGCGTCCTGAACCCTGGATGTGACATGGACTTAACATGATTCCATCAGCTGAAATCGACAAAGGGCATGGAGGTCTTCTGACCATAGTCCGAACAGCTGTTTGCTCGATTGGCATTAGCAATAATGCGCCAGGAAAGCATCAACGCATCCGGTCAGCATTTGGCCAATTGCTGTCCAATCCTGTGGGCAACACCAAAATCCAGACCGATCCTGTTGAAGATAGGAAGGCAAGTTGGCGTAGACCCGGGAAACTCCTTTAGACTCTCCCTTTCATGAATGTCGTGTTGCTGGGAGGCGACTGCAACACCTCCTTGCTTCCAAAGCACATCAGCAGCATCTATGTTCCCTCACATACTTTGCTTAGTACAAGAAAGGTCAGACCTCTGATTTTGCAGTGGACGGATTTTATAGGCAAGTTCTTTTTGCACCACATTAAGACGGGTCTCAGGACGCCTGATTTCATATCATGGATGGAAAGAGGATACAAAGCAGAAAAGCGAAACAAATAATGTGTTGGACACAAACGTTCGTGGCTCCAAAGAAGCTCAAACAGACATGGCAGATATGAGTACCAGAAGCAGTACTGGAATGGAGGCTGAGGCATTAGAGCGTAGACGTTGCCAAAGGGCTGAGTTCTAATAAAGGCGTGCGTGGTGGATGGCGGGCGGGAACCGAAGGCAACTTTCTTCAATTTTGTAGTGGAATGAGAACAGGAGCAAATGGAGGCTGAGCGTGGCCGGCTGCAGATCTCCAATTGCATTGAAGAGCCCTGTCTATAAAATCAGGGGAGCCAACACCTACATGCACCATATGCATGGTGTGATCTAAATGGACAGGGGGCAGCTTGGGTCAGGAAATAGCATGGGGGCGGAAGCAGTACTGGAATGGAGGCTGAGGCATTAGAGCTTAGACTGCTTAGACACTGCCAAAGGGCTGAGCACGCTTGTTCCAAGAAAAGCGTGCATGGTGGATCGATCAACCGAAGGCAACTTCCCTCAATTTGGTAATAGAATGAGAACAGGAACAATACTGGAATGGAGGCTGAGGCGTGGCCTGTTGCAGATCTCCAACTGCACTGAAGAGCCCTGTCTATAAAACCAGGGGGCCAACACCTACATGCCCCATATGCATGGTGTGAGCTAAAGGGACAGGGGGCAGCTTGGCCTGGGAAACAGAATGGAAACAGAAGGAGTAGTGGATTGGACCTTGAGAGGGGACAGAGGACAGGGGTCCGTGCGTCCTGGATGTGGTTATAGAATGAGAACAGAAGCAGTACTGGAATGGAGGCTGGACCGTGGCCTGCTGGAATCTACGTTGTCAGGCTGCCAGGCTTACAAAATGCTGCGCCTGCCACAAAAGAATGATACGTTGCAAGGCTTATAAACTGTAATGGCGCCATGAACACTCTCCGTTGCCTTTCGAAGATGGGAAAGATCTCAAAAAGCTGCCTGTCGAAAAGCGGTGTCAGTCCTCTGGGGTATTATGGTCAGTTAGGTGTAGCTGCTTTTGCGCATTTCATTTTCATGATATTTTTCGCGGCGTGATCCTCTATAAAATTAAAATCTAGGGGGACTACCTGTGCGTAAAACGTTTTAAAGTAGGACCCCTATACTGAAATCAGGCTTGCCAGATTCCGTGTCAGAATTTTGCTGGCTTTTAATGTGTCAGTTTGTTGTGATCTTTCTTGGCTTAGAAAAATGTACCAAACACAAGATGTTTCAGAAATATAACTATATAGAGATGTGTGCGGTCAAAGAGGCTTATGTTGGATGTTGGGGCGGTCGCGTCGTATGAATTGCTAAAAGGTCTAGTCTCTCCAAATTATATACCCTAAGAGGGTGTATCCACATGTTATATTTTTAAAATCGCATCCAAGTCCCCCCCAGCGGAGTTGCCACGAGCATATTATGATTACTGTATTGTTTGTCAATGCCTGGGCTGTTATAGTTATAGTTATAGTCTACCTTGTGGGTGGAACCCCTTGATTTATAAGCATATGGGAGGTCCACCACAGTGCACTTCCAAAATCTCAGGTGAGACCTACAACCCCATGTGGGAACAGGGATACAAAAGGTATGTGGACAGTTCTGCCCTTCTTCATACCTGGCTCAACTCTCACATCCGTGAGGGTGCAAGATCTTGAGCCGTTCTTCATTGGCCCGTGTGCCACGACGATCTGCGCATACATTTCACTTTCATGACGTCTTGTTTGCCCCACCCGCCGCCCAAAAGAGACAAGTAGAAAAAGAGATAGAATTTGCAGATGTGAGATGCGAAGAGGAGAGAGGATGTAGATGTGATGCAAGGGTGAAGATGTGATTTGACCGTTGACCGCCCCTGTTTACAAGGAACTTTTCGTTCAGGCGCTCTCGCGCGCGCCAAAACCCCTACAGTACTAACATTATCCTATCGACCTAATTGTCTATACCTACTTGTCTACCAACAGTAGAGACGATAGACGCCCAGCTGCTAGTTTAGTTTCTCGGTGCACACGCCCCCGCTCTGTGTGTGTGTGTGTGTCGCCTCCTGTTTCAAGGAATGACAGGAATGAGCGCGTGAAATCACAACCAACGAAGCTAGTGATGTCATGGGAAGCAGTCAGAGACGTCTGACTGTGTACCTGCACCCTTTTTCAATCCTCTCAAAAGGGCAAACCAGCACTTCTCTCCGTTGCGTCAAGTCAAGCGCTACGTGTTCATCTAAAGCGCTAGCCTCACGGGGAAGTCACAACTGATATAGCTCTTGCGAGCATGGATCTAAGTGTGTCTCGTAGCATCGTCCCACTGTGGTGTGCTGCGCGATCTGTTCGGGGCGCGTTGAGCATAGACCCTTAAGGGCGGATCAGTGGGTGATTGATCCTCTTGCTATTGCTTGCATATCTCTTGACTAGCCGCTTGCGCGAGATTGCTGATACCAAGCTGCAGAGCATACTAAGACCCTTCATGACATGCCCCTCACGCGTCTAAGTAACCATTTTGCACAGACCCATGTCATACTGCTAAGTATACATTGCTGTCTTGCTTTTCTTCTTTCGGTTTCTTTTCGTTTTCTAGGTCTGTCTGTTTCTAATGGTAACTGAAGTTTTTCATGTTTTTCATGCTTTTTAGTCAAGGGGGCGCCAGCTTCGGCTTTCTGGCCAGTGCCTTTTGGCCCGTGAGTGTGAGTGAGTGCGAGTGTGAGTGAGCGTGAGTGAGAGTGAAGGTGGGGGCGCTATAGTGTGGGTGGAGTGTGAGTATGAGACTGAATGGGTGAGTGAGTGTGTGTGAAAGTGAGAGCGAGTGTGGGAGAGTGAGTGCGCGTGAGAATGAGAGTGAGAGTGAGTGTGGGTGGGTGAGTGGGTGTGAGTGTGAGGAGTGTGAGTGGGAGTGAAGTGCAGTGAGTGTGAGCGCAAGTGTGATCTGCACTTCGAGGTTCACCAAGCACTGTGCCTGCCGCGAAATCTGCACTTCGAGATTCGCCGAGCGCTGCGCCTGCCACGAAATCTGCACTTTGAGGTTCACAAAGCGCTGTGCCTGCAACGAAATCTGCACTTCAAGGTTCTCCAACAAGTGCTGTGCCTGCCACGAAATCTGCACTTCGAGGCTCACCAAGCGCGCTGCACCTGCCACGAAATCTGCGCTTCGAGGTTCACTAAGTGCTGTGCCTGCCACGAAATCTGCGCATCGAGGCTGTGCCTGCCACGAAATCTGCACTTCGAGGTTCACCAAGTGCTGTATCTGTCACGAAATCTGCACTTCGAGGTTCACCAAGCACTGTGCCTGCCACGAAATCTGCACTTCGAGGTTCACCAAGTGCTGCGCCTGCCACGAAATCTGCGCTTCGAGGTTCACCAAGCGCTGTGCCTGCCACGAAATCTGCACTTCGAGGTTCACCAAGCGCTGTGCCTGCCACGAAATCTGCAAACGAGCCACATGTCCAAAAGTCACGATTCACTGCACCTGTCACGAAATCTGAGCTCCTCGACGATCACCGCCATGTCCAAAGTGCTGCGCCTGCCACGAAAATTGCATTTCGAAGTAAAACAGCTCCGATCCCTGGCACCTGTCACGCAAAGTCGACTTTGGAGCACCAAAATGTAGTTTCCCTTGCGCCTGCCACGAAAAGTCACCACCATTTACGAAAATGCGCACGGCGCCACAACGAGAGCGCTGTCGTTAGAAGCACCGCAGACACCCAGATTCAGCGAGCCTGCGCAGTCGAAAGCGATCTAAGCCCCAGCTGCGCCCCAGCTGCTTTTCTACTACCGTAAGAACCCCTCAGTGTGCCCACACTAACACGTTTAAATTGCAGGGGGCCAGCGCATGACATCGCAACGCTGGCCAACGAAGCTAGTCATGGGAAGCACTCAAAGACGTCTGACTGTGTACATGCACCAATTTTTAATCCTCTCTAAAGGGCCAATGAATTTTCGACCGACCCAGCACTTCTTTCCGTTGCATCATGTGAAGTGCTACGTATTCATCATTATTCATCTAAAGTGCTAGCCTCATGGGGAAGTCATATGTGATATAGTTTTTGCGAGCACGGATCTAAGTGTGCAGGGTCGGTGGACAATTTGTGCAGGCCTTTTAGCCGGAAGAATTGTTTAAGTCTCAGGCTCAAAGCAAGCTAGGCTTAGCAAAATGCAATACTCATGCATACCAAAGTTTCATTAGCAACACGGAAGAGAAACTTTTCATAAGTGGAGCCGCACTTCTATTCGCCTTGAGTTGTATTGAGCAAAGCAGAAAGACCAATATCATACAGATCTGTCACAAATCAGCGCTGCATATTCATGAACATTTGAGAAGCTGAACTTCGAGCAAAGAATGAGGTCGGCTGTTTGGCGGTGCGGTTTAACCGTTGCTCCCATTCTTGGCATGAAACTGTCACTCGCTTTTGATGTCCAAGTTAAGATGGACCTTGAATACAAAATCTTTGGTTATGGGTTTTAATACTTAAACTTTTGCACGCATTGAGGCCCTCAAGGTGGCTTCAATGGTGAAGAGAGCTTTGTGTAGCGTGCTTGTTTTGTTGTCTTGAACTGTGGAAAGCTTTGGTAAAGAATGGGATCAAATGTATATGCTGCAGATCAGGCCAATTTAGACTCCCTGAGCAAGATCCAGCAAAGATATTCGCAGGACCAGGGCTTCTTTTGCCCAGGTATTGGATGCAACTATCCAAGCAAGGCATTCGGATTGGCTGGTGCAGCCTGCAACCAAGCTAGAGATGAGATGGTAAGAATGCATGTAGGAAACTGCTGCAGCGCTCCGCATTGATATAGGATGACCAACCTGTTTGAGTCAGCAACACCAGGTGAACGATGCATTCCTCATTGCAGAGACCCTTCAGGTCAAGCATTGTTTCTTCGTTGGAAAGCAAGGCTGCCTCATATCTATGTAATTCATTGTAATTCCATGGATAATAGGTTTGCCCAGAAGCACGGAAAACGGATATCACCAGACAGCAGTTAACACATATTTCATTTTGACCACATGGAAGATCGCTGCGTGTCTTCGGACCTGCTCACTGTTAGACTACAGATGACAAGAACCACCCTCGATGTGTCATTTCAGTCAAAGGCTAAACCACTGACGTTCTGACGTAAGCGTGCACGCTATTTGTTTCTTTGTTTCGCGCGCCAAGAGCCAACCGACATCGGACAACTCAACGAGCGTTTACCCGACACTGATCCTAGTGAAAAGAGATGTCTATATATATATAGATAGATATATCTAGATATCAAAGATCCGAGATTCCTCAAATACATTTCCAGCAAGCTTGGACCTTGGATCCATGTAGGTATTTTCTCGGTCCATTTGTTAAACCACCTTGGCTTCATGAAACCACTTCTTGAAGCGCAAGTTGAGGGGTGTAAAAAGGACTGGACGTACGAAATGTGCTGAACAAACTAGCCACATCCAAAGGCTTTATGTGCATGAAAGATTCAAAGGAATGTCCTTGTTCAATGTGTGTTTGATTGTTTTTGTAGTTTTCTTTGCTCCGAAGCACAGCATTCAAGGCACCTAGAGGAGCCTCCCTTTGCAAAGAAGAGTGTATGCTTTTGCATAAGCATATGCGTCTAGTTCTAAATAAACTTAGTCCATCTCTCCCCAAATCTCGTTCATTGAGCTGGTTTCTCTTTCAATAAACGCCTCATCCTTGGAAATCTTTTCGGTCCACTCTTGTATCCACCTTTTCCACCTTTAATCGTTTTCAAAAGTATCTTCCTTGTGCAGGGAATGTTCTGTTTTTTATATAAGCATCTACAGTAATCCTTGTGAATGCTGCTCCCTTCATGAGGGCCTTACCCTTTATGAGCGTATCATCTCCTTTACAAATGTTCTTTCGTTTGTGTCCTCTTCTATAAAGCTTTTCTTGCTGGAAGACACCTGAATTATTATCAGAAACCTGTGTCAGCGGAACTGAACAATGGGTTTGATGTGGAATTAGGCATGTTTGCCATGTCAAAGGGATTTGATTGTGCCTTGCTCACCTTGGGCACTTGACAAGCTTATTGAAAATTGTTTGTCCTGATCGACAAGAAGGATTGAACCCAATCCTTCTCCAAGCACGCTTTCGGATCAATCATAGTTGTGTCAAGATGTTGGTTCAGATAACCAAAAGGGTTAAGCAGTGCACATGTGTCAATCAATTAATGAGGTGTTTTCCACCAAGGATATGTTCAACTTTGCGGGGGGAATACCTTTTTGCAAAGGAGAACCTATCGTGATACAAGGCGAGGGCCTCACAAACCAACCAGAGAGGCGTACTGAATATACACAGAGAACTCCTGGCAACTGAATAAGCACTGCAAATCCAATCGTACAAACAGTTTACGTGTCACTTTGTCAGATCGCATCATGTTTCTGGACAAGCTGCATTCACGTTACTGTGCTGTTCTAGTGAAAAAGTTTGCATGTCGATCCCTGTTTGTGTCTTCAACAGATTTCTGATGAAGATGTCTTGAAGGTAGTCTTGAAGTCTTCAAGGGGATTTGCTCAAGGTGTCAAAGCGTGTGTTATGTTAATATGAGAGTTTGCAGTCAGCTCGAAAACCCTTCCTGGCAGTGCTTGACGGTCCTGCTCAGCTGCTTCCACGTGCATGCTCTTGGCCTTCCTAGAGGGTACCCTTGCCCAAAAGGGTGTCAACAATAGAATTACAAGGTTTGGTTTTGAGTCGGCGTCTGAAAAGGCGAAGACAGTGTAAGCCCGTATGTATGTCTGTCTGTCTGTCTGTCTGTCTGTATGTATGGAATGTAGTGTAATGTAATGTAATGTAATGTAATGTAACGCATGCATGGATGGATGTATGTATGTATGTATTTTTCCTCCTAAAGGTGCTTGTTCGAGGCTCTTTGGCGGTCTGGTTCTACAGGCAGCCTCAGTCTGGTTCAGAAGAAGTCAACGCCGATAACCTCATCGTCCGTGGCAGTTTCTTCTTCACCCCCTTCTGGTCTGGCAACAGCTCCCTCTCTTGGTCCTGTCAAATTCAGATCATTCGGCATTGCGCATGCCTCAGGGGTTGTCGAGAACCGGAGCTTCTTAGGAGCTGGTGCGGCCCTTCCTGTCCTTGTTGGTGTCACCTCATGTGGCTGGGGTTCTTGGCCTGTGGTGACTGCTGTTGCCTGCTTGTCCGGCTGGGTATCATGGCCGGCTGTGGTGGTTGCCGTCTGTGTGGCTGTGTCTTTGCAAGCAGAAAGGGCGATCTCTGGGTATTAGGCTTGGTGCACCCTTGTGTGGCAAGTGTGACATTGAAACCCGCTCCTGTGAGGTTCCCACTGGTGCTTCTCTGGCTTCCACGGGAGCTTGCACTGGTTAATGAGCCTTTTCTTGTACTGCTTAGTGTTGCGCCCTGCCCTGCGCACGGGCTTCTCATGGATGTAGTGTTGTGGATCTTTATAGATCTTCTCGAGCCGCGCTGCAGCCTGTTTGTAGACCTGGAGGTGGTCTTGGTCGAGGGTCCTTTGCCAGGCTGCCAGAGCTGCATCCCTTTGCCTCCTCCTCAGGTGTGGTTCGCTGCCTGGTGCATCGGGGGTCAGATGTGTGATGCGGCGGAAGAGGTCCTCATCGAAACCCTTGGCAAGGTCTTCAAATCCTTTTCGTTTCCTGGGGTTAGTCCAAGCTCCCCAGACTGAGCCCAGCTGGATGATCACGTTGATCGGGGTGAGGACACGCTGGGCTAAAGTGATGAGGCCTTGAAACAGTGCCCGCTTTTTGGTCTGCTGACCTGGCGCCATGCCCGTTATTGTACCTTTTCTCAGTAGTGTCCCAAGAGAAAAGGTGTGGGTGCAAAGTGCGAAAATCCACGCCTGGGATGTCTGGTCGTAGGAGGACGGTGTTGCGTCCAAAGTGACCGACAAACCTTGCCATGGTTGCAGTGGCATTGGTTCCAAGGTGTTCCAACATCCCTGCCCCTGGAGCGGTAGGGCCGTTTGCCGGTGATCTTGTGGTTCTTTGGGGAGCCAGCCATGCGCCCACAAGGGCTCTTCGAGTGGGTCCTGTAACCCCTCTGTCCAGTCAATGGAGAGGGCTTCATGGCCTTTGTTGTGGTGCCAGGTACAAAGCCACACAATGTGCTTCGGCGTGGCAGGGACGTTGCACAGCGGGCAAGTTTTGATCTTGTCTCCTTGCCGGTAATGGAGGGCTGCCTGCGCTGATCAAGTTCTGGCAGTTGTTCTTGCTCGCAAACCTGCTGGTCCGCTGCTGTTGTGCTTCGTGATGCAACTCTGGTTGGGTGTGCTCTCGTAGAGAGTGAGGTCTTCCACCTGTGTGACATAGGTGCTCCATGCCCTGAATCCAATGTCCGGCACATGAGGTAGTGGTGGGAAGGTCCGTAGTTGATTGTAGTTCCTAAAGTCTTCCTCCAGTTCTACGGCATAGGTTACCAGGCAGTGAGGTCGCCAAGGTACCGCCCATTCGGTAGTCATGGAAGCACAGGAGGCAATGGTTTGGTGCATGATTGCGTAATCAACCGTGTTGCCATTGAGCATGGTTGCATCCGGTGCCAGGATCTGCCAGTAACTTGGAGCTGAGCGCTGCGCTTTGGAAGTGTTCAGGATGATTGTTCCAATCTCCTACGAGGATGAATAGGCGCGTCGTGGCTTGTAGCAAGGCCAAAATGCCGGCCAGGAGCTGGGAGTTTGTTGTCCCTTGGATCGTCTCATTGGTCTTGAAATAGACCGCCGCGACCAGGATGGATCTGGCTTTGGCTTCCCATAGGAAGGCCTGATACCCACAACCTTCAATCTCGAAGTGCTCCAGCTTGGTTATTCCATGGGCTGTGTCATGGATGATGCGGATGCCACCATGGGTTCCTTCGTTGCTGTTGGATTGGGCAGGATATCCAAACGCAGGGCGTCCTCTCACTTCGAAGTATTGGCACATCGTGTGATGCTTTGGCTGATCGAGGTGTGTCTCAACGAACACATAGATCTCATTGTCCCTTGCCCAGTACCAATCAAGGGTGTTCTTGCCGAAGGCTGTGATGTTGGCCACATTTATCCTCATCTGCTCTTGGGCGAATCTGGCCTTCTTGGGTGGTGTGCCGCGAAGCCTCCGGTGGAGGTAAAGCCCTGGCTATTTGTCTTGGTGTGACCAGGGCAGAGGTCTGGATGCCCCAGACTTGTACTATCTGGCCGGCTATTTGCGGCGTCAAGAAAGGCAGAACTTGGGCGTGGCTCCATCGTCTGCTATCCACATCAAATTCTTGTAGACCAGGATGGCATAGTAGTGGCCTGTTTCATGTGTGGGTCCTCGGTGGCATATGTATGCAATGGGGATGTATTCGGCACAGGCCCTGGAGAAGCCGTCCAGGGATCTGGGACCGTGTGTGGTCCATGTGGATTGAGGGCCCTTTTGTGTTTGGTGACCGTGCCCTCTATAGATATTGCCAGCAATTCAGAAGCTCTTGCCAGGTGATTTCATCAAGGAATTCGTCCGGGTAGTCCACAACGAGTGGCAGTTGGACATGCTCAGCCCCCTTCTTTGATCTCCGTGTAGCGGTATTGCATACGGTTACGCCATTAAAATATGTGGAGGGCGGCCCAGGGTTGACCCTCCCGGAGGTAGTGTATAATTCCTATTCTGTCCGTATGTTTGGGGGCGACGGGCGGCTCCGCATGTTTAAATGTGCAGTTCCTTCATCATTCCCAACAATAAAAAACAGCAGGATCTTGCCGGGCCTTATGTGGGGACCTTGGCTCCGCGCTAGACACCTCTCACAGTTTTTGCCATTGACACCCCTTCATGTTTAACATCCCTGTGCTTTGAGTGTGGGTTGGAGCTAAAGGAGACTTAGAAGCCGGCCCCCACGGAATTGCGATGAGTGCACCATTTTGGGAAAAGCCGTTT